GTGTGTGAGCCCGTGTGTACGTGGGTGTGGGAGCACATGTGTATGTGTGTGTGTGAGCCCGTGTGTACGTGGGTGTGGGAGCACATGTGTATGTGGGTGTAGGAGAATGTGTGTGTGTGTGTGTGTGTGTGTGTGCACATGTGTATGTGGGTGTGGGAGCTCATGTGTACGTGGTGTGTAGTTCATCATGTGGGCTGGCTCCTGGCCACAGCTTCCGGTCTCCACAGCTCCCATGACCTGGCCGACCCCTGTACACCCCGTGTCACGCCCGTGAGTGAAGCGTCCGGGTGGATGGGGCAGGGAGGGGCCCCCGGGGCCTGGACCAAGTAAAAAGAGTAAGAAAAAATGAAAATCTCTCATCATGGGTTTGCATGTGTTTGTGTTCACATGTGTGCCTCTGTGTGCTGGTGCATGTGTGTACACACCTGTGTGCTGGCATATGTGCATATGCCCGTGTGTGTGAATGCATGTGTGTGCTGGGTGTGCATGTGTGTGGGGCTGAGAGGAGGACCTCTGGCCTTGCTCTCTAGGGACCCCACCCCACCCCCCACCCCGCCTTTCTGACTTGACTGAGACTGGATGACTCGGTTGAGCTGGTAGGCCAGTGAACCTCAGGGACTCCCTGTCTCTGCCCACCCAGATCTGGGACAATAAACACACGTCACTGTACATGGATGTTCAACAAACACGCCACTGTACATGGATGTTCAACAAACACGTCACTGTACATGGATGTTCAACAAACACGTCACTGTACATGGATATTCAACAAACACGTCACTGTACATGGATGTTCAACAAACATGTCACTGTACGTGGATGTTCAAATGCAGGTTCTGGGAATTCAGCTCAGGCCTCACTCCTGCAGAGCGAACACTTTGCCCTCTGAGCGGTCACCCCGGACTCCTGCCCCCGCCCCTGCCCTTGACGTCGACACCAAGGCTACCCTCACAAATGACAGTGGCTGTTCATCCACGCTTGGCCGGTGGCTTGAGCACCCCCTGTGTGCCGGACAGTCCAGCTCACCCTTCCCTCCTCCCACGCCTGCCGGCAGCTCACACGTGCCTCAGGCTGGGGACACAGAGTTTAAAGACAGACGCAGCCTCCGCTCTTGGGCATCTTACAAAGCCACTCCTGTGCTGGGGGCCTTGGAGAATGGAGATATCTACAAGAGAGGGGCCACTGCAAGGGGTGGGACAGACAGACAGACAGACAGGTTCTGCTCCCACCCCCATGCGAGAGCTGCCAGGGTGGGAGGCATGAGGAGCAAACTGCATTCCCAGCTTCCCAGAGCTGGGCCTCAGGGTTTGCCTCATGGGTGGTTTCCCTCCTCCCTCCCTCTGCTCCTGCAGGAGAAGAAGAGCCAGGTTCTGCTCCCTCGTCACCCTCTCTGGCCCCGGGCAGCTCTTCTCTCTCGGAGCAGCTCTGTCACAGCACGAGGCAAGGCTGTTTCCACTTGGAAGCACTGTCAGGACGGATACCCTTCATCGCTCTTCTCAGCATCACGGCGGTGACATGTGGCCAAGGGGCCTGTGTGTCTCAGCCCAGCTTGTCACCCCGTCATCTCCCTCTGGACTGCAGCACATAACCAGCCAGGCGGTGCCTCCCTGGTGGCCGCAGCTCTGCAGCCTGATCTCCTGCGGGGCTCTGGCTCCCGGCCACCTCTGGGGGATTCCTCAGTTTACCACTTTTGCTGGAGATGGAACCAGCTTGTAGGAGAAGGGGGAAGGGAAGGGGGAGGGAGGGAGGGAGAAAGAGAGAAAGGGAGGGAGGGAGATTGAGAGGGAGAGAGAGAAGGAGGGAGAGGGAGAGAGAGAAGGAGGAAGAGAACATTTTTGCAAAGACTGCAGCTTTTCATAAAATAGGTTTTTAGCCTTTAAGTCACGGGGGTGGGATGTAGCAGCGAACAGTGTGACTGTTAGGGAGAGCCCGCCGGAGATGACCACTCAGACACAGCTCATAGCCAATCACAAATCTTTATTCCAGCCAGCTGGGACTACACTCAGGTATTCAGGGACCCAGTGTAGCCCAGAGCATTGAGACCAAGGGGTTTCTTCTAAAGGTGAAAGCCGCATCCTGATCTCTCTCTCTCTCTCTCTCTCTCTCTCTCTCTCTCTCTCTCTCTCTCTCTCTCTCTAGCTGCAGGGGAGGTTTGCAGAAGCAGGAGGCCGGTTAACGGAAGCTAAGTTAGCTGGGGCATCTGGCCCTGAGTCCCAGAATAGACTTGGGTAATTTTCCATGGGATTCTCCATCGAGGAGATCAAATTAAGCCTGAAATGTCCCCAGCAAGAATACAAAGTGAACACAAACCTAACCCTGTGGCAGCGTTTCTGCTTTGTTTGAAGGCCACTGGGGGTTCCAGCCCTGGGAGAGAGACTGTCTGGAATGGAGGCCAACAGGGGCGCCACGCTGAGGCACAGCCAGGGTCAGTCAGAATGTTCCAAAGAGCAGTCAACCCCACTCACCCTCCCTCCCTTTGTCCCTCTGTCTCTGTCTCTGTCTGTGTCTCTCTGTCTCTGTCTCTCTTTCTCTCTCTGGGACCTGTATCTCAGCAACACTCAGAGCCAAAGGCTCCCACCCTTTGTGAATCCTACAGTCTCGGAGAGAGGGCAAATTATAAATTACCCAGCTGAGGCGGGTGGAGACATGGGCCTGTCACCCCAGCATGCAGGAGGCTGAGGCAGGAGGAGCTAAGGCCAGCCTGGGACACAGAGTGATTTCAAAGCCAGCCTATTAAAAAAAAAAAAAAAAAAAAACGAAAAGAAGGGAAGGGGTGTGACTCGGTGTGAGGAGGTTGCACAGGGTGTGAGAGGCTGGTGGGTTCCATCTCTGGATCCATAGAAGGAAAGAGAAGAGCAGAAAATGGCAAGTTTTGGCCTCACAGGGGAGAGAGACTGTGAGCTGTGCGCACAGTGGGGTGTCAATCAAGTGGAACCAGGCAGCTTGGGAAAGACAGATGGTTCAGGTGGACATGTATGCCTCCGGGACACAGTCCCGGGGACACAGGGAGATGGTCAGGCCAGGGGACAGCAGGACAGGGAGGTACTGTTCAGTTGTTGTGGAGCATTAATTAGCAAGACAAAAGCATGGGACCCTGGAAGCAAGGAAGGGTGTGGGTGGGGCCACCGCATCCGTGATGAGAACCCGCCCCCCCCAGCTCTGCAGACGTGCCTGTGGGGTACCGTGCATACCAGACGGGGAGCATTGGGCCGCTCCACACAGGCTCTGTAGCTGCCATGGTCAGTTCTGCAAGGCAGCAGAGTGTCCTAAAGGGACCCCCACACTGGAAGCCGTTGCTGGAAAATTCTAACGCTGAGCCGTGTGGAGGAGGAAGGTGCCTGAAGCGACCTATTCTTGCCTTAGAATGCAGAGCTCGCCGCCGGAGCCAGTTTTCCTGGGCTGCTATAGTAACCGGCCTGGATGGGGAGCAACAGAAGGAAGGGCCTGCAGGAGCTGAGTGGACGCCGACGCCGCCACCGCTGTCCCATTGTCGGGAGCCAGGGAGATGGATGGCGTGACCTTGCGGAAGAAGCCTCTGCTCGGGTTTATTAAAGCCTGTGCTGTTGCTCCATGACGCACAAAGCTGACTCGTGTAAGGAAATAAAATCAAGGGAGAAATACACCGCTGAGCCGCTCACCGCCGGAGGCTACATGTCTGGATACAGATGCCTGTTAAGCGGCAAGGGTGGAGAGACACCGATGTCCCGAAAATTGTTTATGACTTCGGTGGCAATAACTGTACTTCTGAGATTCCTCCTTCACAGAATAATCTTAACTAGGACATAAGAGCTTTATGGATAGGGGCAGGCTTGCTGTCTCGTCACCCCTAAGAGGCTAAGAATGAAGGGCATCCTAACTGTCTGGTTCCAGGCAGTGGAATATTACGTTGCCATTAAAAGTGACGATGACAAAGGGCGCGTGCCAACCTGGGCATGGCTTATACCAGCTGAGTGCCTGGGAGGTTGTGCTCACCTGCGGGAGGGAAGTCTCACAGACCAGAGGAAACTTAGCCAAACGTTCATCCCACAGTGCTGTCCATGTGTTCTTCTCTCATGTACACAGCTGTTTCCAGTGTGGACCACATTGTCCCTGCTTCCTCTCATCTTCATGAGTCTTTGCAACGTGGAGAAATGTGTGGGCATTTCCAACAGAAACTCACTTGGGGGGGTGTATGTGCATGTGTGTATCTGTGTGTGTCTGTGTCTATGTGTGTGTGTGTTTCTACACGTGTACATCTTTGTATGTGTGCATATCTGTGTGTGTCTGTGTATCTATTATATGTGTCTCTATGTGTCTATGTGTGTGTGTGCATGTGTATATCTATGTGTGTATCTACATATCTGTGTCTGTGTATGTGTGTGTGTCTATGTGTGTCTGCATACATGTCTCTCTCTCTTTGTATGTGTGTGTGTGTGTTTGGGTGTGATTATTGAGGGGTGGGGGATGGGCCACACCAGGCGTGCTTCTAGAGGTCTGTCTGTCTTCTGCTTCTATAAGCAAACTCCTCTGCCACCGTCAAAACTTAGCCCACAGGTCACCACCTCCTTCTGTCTGCTGCTCTGCACCGTGAACATCTCTGTAAATTTTCCTCAGTTAGAGGCATGCCCCTGTGGCCACGTGGGTGCCTGTGGCTCCTGTCCCACCACACGGAAGTCATTCCAAACGGAACCATCGAGGATCTCTGTGGAGGCAGCAGCATCATTTCAGATGTCACGGAAGCCGTCCACGGCCCTTGGCTCTTTAATCCATGCTGGAGAGTGAACGGAGGCGCACTCCCACATATCCATTATCCCCTGGCTGGGCACTCACACTACCTTGTCCACGGACTGGAACACAGCCCTGTGAGCCTTGACTCCGTCCTGCAATGGGTGTGGACACACAGCCAGGCTCTCTCTTCAGCTGGTTGGAAAGAGCTGGGACGCCAGTCCGGCGTGGATGGCTCCGCTTGAGAGAGTCACTTTCTGAGAGAGTCACCCCTCCCTGGTGGCACATACGTAGTGATTTGTTGGGGTCGAAGCCAGGTTGTTGTGGCCAGATATGGAACAAAGACAAAGGGCCATCTTAGCGCCAGGCTGAGAGATGTCAAGAGAGTCTCAAGGACTGGCTTGGGACCACATCAGTCTCATTCCTCACTGCCGCTGTCACCCTCCTGTCCTGCATGGACACGGCCTGCCACAACTTCTGGAGAAACAGTCTCCAAATCAGTCTCTCTCTCTCTCTCTCTCTCTCTCTCTCTCTCTCTCTCTCTTTCTCTCTCTCTCCATCCATCCATTTATCTATCTATCTATCTATCTATCTATCTATCTATCTATCTATCTATCTATCTATCTATCTAAACTTTGTTTAGCCTACAGTAATATATACAGTCTACAGTTGTTGCATGAAATCTAATAGGTCTTTTAATAAAAAACCTGGAGCCAGATACTGCAGTAAATGTTGAAAGATCAGAGAGACAAAGGAACAAGTCACAGCTACTTCTCACCTCGCCTATTCCATGAATCCTCTGACTGAATGTCCCTGAGCCTTTAGTCAGAAGGCTTCAGCCCAAAAGGGCTCTAGTTCCTGTCTCCTCACGCCTTATATACCTTGCTCCGCCCAGCCATATTCCTGCCTTCTCGGTACTGGGATTAAAGGTGTGTACCACCACACTCTGGCTCTGTTTCTCTCCTAGACTGAGTCAATCTCCTGTAGTCCAGGGTGGCTTTGAACTCACAGAGATCCAGATGGATCTCTGCCTCATGAGTGCTAGGATTAAAGGTGTGTGCCACCACTGCCTGGCCTCTATGTTTGATCTAGTGGCTTGCTCTGTTCTCTGATCTTCGGGTAAATTTTATTAGGATACACAAGATATCACCACAACTTCACTCCCAGGAGTTTGGGACTCTGGTTGGGGCGCTGAGTGACCAAGTGGAGGATAACCCCACCTCTGGCCAAGTGGCAGCTCTCTGCCTCTCTACTTCCCACTCTACCCAGTGATCCCCGTGGAATGGCTCATGTCTTTACACCTGTCACCTCAGCGCTCGGCACCTTTCCTGACATGCCGCAGATGCTGGAGGGCTGCTGGGTACCCGGATCCTTCCGAGGAGGGAATGAGAGACAGGTGAGCTTCCCACACCCGCGTGTCAGGCTGTACACGCGAACGCTTGATCGTCTGTGGCTCTGCTTGATGGGAGGAGGAGCAGGGCTCCCAGAAGGACCTGGTGTGTGTGACTGGAGAGTTTCTCCTCGGCTTCCCTCTCCAAAGGCCTCTCTGCTCTGCTTGCTGCAAGACAAATGGGGACACTGAACACAGCCAAGGCTGATATCATTAAAGATCTGTGCAGAAACGCTTGCGGGCCCGGTGACAGGTCTCGGCAGGCACCGGGTTGTTCGGGGTAAGCACAAATTGGTCTGGCAATTACTAGGAGTGGAAGTCCCCCCGGCCCAGGCTCAGCCTGAGGGGGCTGCTCCTGCTAAGACAAAGGTGCCAGAAGACATTCAGACCCTGGGACAACCTGCGGGCAAATGACTTCCCTGGGACATGGGGCTCCTCCAGCTCAAGACTACCATGAGGTGGGGGACAGTCCCTGTCCAATGAAACTTCAGCTGCGGCTGCAGCTCTCCACCCACAGGAACCTGACAAGGCTTCCTCCGGATTTCATTCTAGCCAAGTCTCCCTTGGTTCATAGGCAAAGGGCCTGAGTTTCAAATCCTGCCCCCGGCCAGCTGTGTGATCTTGAGAAAGCCACTCACCCAATCTGAGCCTCAGCTATCAACCCTGTGATGAAATGAGGCCCATAAAGCTTATTCTTAGGAGGAGGACTGGTGTCAGCCTCTGGCTTCCACGTCCACACAGCAGCTCCCAGTATGGCCGAGAGGCCTCACCTGCCTTATTCCCAGCTGTTCCAGCTAATTTCACACCGACCTTCACTTTTGGTCGAAAGCCACAGTCCACTGCGCAGGATTCGCATGTTCCTTGAGGCGTACCTGAAAAGCACAGAAGAGCCTGAGAGACAAACAATTATCATCCAAGACAAACGCTGCTAACACTGGCGGCAGCCTGAGCCCGGGCTCCACTCTGTGTCCACGCCTGTGGCACCGGTACAGACATCAGCCGTCTCGTTCCCCCCATCCGGTTGTAGGGCAGGCATATCATGGCATCTTCCTGTGTGGTGGGATATTTGATTTTTATCTCATTTCACAGCTGTATAGTATTCCTTAGCCATTTTCCCAATACAAGTTCTCTGCCCAAGTTTCATTGTTATAAATGATACCCTGGTGATGGTCTTCGTGCCTAAATTGTGTGTGTGGTGTGGTGTGTTTGTGGGTGGTGTGGTGTGGTGTGTGTGTGTGTGTGTGTGTGTGTGTGGTGTATATGTGTGTGTGTGTGTGTGGTATGTGTGGTGTGTGTGTGGTGTGTGTGGTGTGTGTGGTGTGTGTGGTGTGTGTGGTATGTGTATGTACTATTTGTGTGTGTATGTGTGTGGTATGTGTGTATGTACTGTGTGTGTGGTGTGTGTGTGTAGTGTGATCTCCTTGCCTGGGCACAGCAGGGTGTTTTCTTCTAATTTGTGCTTTATACTTGTGGATGAACTACAGTTTCCCTGCTCTGTCTACCTCACCTACCAGCCCTGTGTGATGGTTGACCTACCCAGTGGGTCTTACTAAACTATAGAAATCAAAGTGAACTCAAGCCGGGCGGTGGTGGCGCACACCTTAAATCCTGTCACATGGGAGGCAGAGGCAGGTAGATCTCTGCCAGTTCGAGGCCAGCCTGGTCTACGTGGTGGCAAATTCAGGGGTAGCCAGGGTGACATAGTGAGACCCTGTCTCAAAATAGAAGCAAAACAGCAGAAGAAATAATCAAACAACAGCAACAAAACCAACAAACAGAAAGTCCAAATGAACTCAAGCACCTCCCCCCAACTGTTTTCCAACACAAACTTGTTGGGAGACCCTGGAAAGATCTCTGCAGCTTTGTCAAAAAGTTAATAGGATAATTTTGGTTTCAAGTCACTTGAAAACTCAGCTTAAGACCAGAATTGAGAATTGAATGCTTTGCATGTGTGGGGTTTTTTGTTTTGTTTTGTTTTGTTTTTGCCTGCATGTAAGTCTGCATGACATGCACGCCTGGTATCCCTGGAGGCCACAGGAGGGCATCAGATCCCCTGGAACTGTAGTTGCAAACAGCTGTGAGCTGCCATATGGGTGCTGGGAATCAGACCTGGGTCCTCTGGAAGAACAGTCAGTGCTCTTAACTGCTGAGCTGTCTCTCCAGGCCTGTGTGTAAATGTTTAGCTTTGAGCTAATTTTGACCTCTAAGAACTGTAAGGAGGATGCGGCCCTACCCCCAGCACCCCCTCCACCCCACTGTGTCCTCACAAACTACAAGTCAGATCTCAGTGGGGACAGTGGCCCTGATTGCTCAGACATGAGGAACCTCCTCGTTTCCCTTACAATGTCTGCATCCTCCCACCTCCCCCGCCCAAGACACCCACTTCCCTGCTCTTAATTCCTAACATCATTCCAACGAAGTTCTGCAGATTCTGTGACCTGCAGCTGCCTGTCCTTCACGGACAGGAATTCTCTGCAACCCACCTTCCCCCCAGTGCACAGCAGCCCACCTTCCCCCAGTGCACAGCAGCCCACCTTCCCCCAGTGCACAGCAGCCCACCTTCCCCCAGTGCACAGCAGCCCACCTTCCCCCAGTGCACAGCATCCCACCTTCCCC